GCCTTAGTTTTGAAAAGCTCCGCTCACATGAAGCCACAGACACACAGATCGAAGGCTTAGCGAGAGTATTGGAAGAGATTCTAGAAAGTCCCATTCAGCTATGAATTTCAAAACAACAAATACTGACCAGTCTTTGAATATGTGAAATTTAATATTAGCTGCCTTTAGTGTCTTCTAAACCTAGGTATTTCCTTTAAAAGTTCATTCTCTGATAACTCATTATAGAAAGAGGTTAATTTTGGAACGGACACCACCAATAACTCTTCTTCACTTGCTGATAGTAGACTTTTGAGTTGAACAGCCCCAAACATATCTGCTTTTTCTTTGATCCCTGATGATTTGATCTGGAGTTCAGAATGAAAGCGAGCAATGCACACCCGCATCTCCATTCTCTTTTCTTCTCGCAGAGAGAGCCCAGCATCTATTAATCGTTCTCCTTTCATTCTCTTCTTAAACCTTTGAGTTCTTTCTCTCTAACGAAATTCCATATGGGTCTGATTTTAAAAGTACATTTTCAATAGCATGTTCCACTAAATGAAAGCCCTTCTCGTTCAGAAACAATCTTAAGGCCTCCCGGTTGGTGACCACTTTGACAAGAGTAAAGCCTTTAGAGCTGCCGATACTGCTGTGTAAGATTAACTTCCTCAAGTAGATCAGCCCAAAGATAAAAGTAACTCAAACGTGAAATCACAAACAGCATGTAAAAGACCTTGTGCTGTTCCACAAACAGCATGTAAAAGACCTTGTGCTGTTCCACAAACAGCATGTAAAAGACCTTGTGCTGTTTAACAATCGTGCTCTAATGTAAGAGGCCGTACTAGTGACGTGACGAATCGGCAAAAATATTTATTTTTGAGTATTTCTGGGTTTCGATAGATTTGAGTCAAAAAACGTTTCTTTTTAAATTTAAATAAATTTAGATTAATTATTAAAAATTATTAGAAAATTTTTCAAAATATTATTTTGTTCACCCTAAAAACTAAAAATGGGTAGATATTAAATATCGGTAAAAAAATTAAAAATCGGTAAAAATTAAAAACATAAAAAATAAATTTTATTTTTTATGTTTTTAATTTTTACCGATTTGAAAAATTTTACGTGTGATCGATATCCTTTTTATGAAATTCCGTTAGGTCGAGTGGTGTGTGGTCTGTAAATATGCAATTTTTCAATTTGGTGTCACCCCCTGGGATGGTGTCACCCGGTGCGGTCCGCACCCCTTAGCTACGCCACGGTGAACAGTTATTTCACCCAAAATGCCTGTTGATTATGCAATGAAGAAACTTAAGCAGGTAACAGCCAACAATTTATACAGCCTTGTAAATGTAAGTTTGGGCAACTAAACGGTTTCCTATACCACACATGTTTTAACACCCTCTGTTCTAGGGACTTCTTTGTACAATCCAAATTGTTCGGAGTAATTTATCTATCAACCTTATGTAAATTGTCCTCTTCTGTCGTCGCATGCATACTATGCATAGGCGATACATCTTGATAGACTTCAAAATCAAGAATGGTTCCACGGGCTGGATAAACTAACGTCGCAGGCCGGATGTGGCCCGCAGTTTTACGATCCATTAGCTAGACACAAATGAAGGGTTCATTTTTACTGAGATCCCACAGAGATGTTGAAATAAAACATTATTTAGTTGGCCAAAATCTTTTCAGAAAACAGTTTGTGGTTATTTCAATACAACCGTATAGTTTTAAAACAGGTAATTTTTGTACTTCATTACGATACGTCTTAATTAGCTTCAGGCATCAGAAAATATAAGCTTAGTCATATATTGCCTATTTGCAATAATTGAAAACAAACAAGCAAAAAAAAAGCAATATAGCTGTTTAACAAAGGACAACAACAATTAGGTTTTGAGAAAATAATTCTGACCGAAATTTTGAATAAAGTACAGCAAAAACTTGACCTCCACCAATTTGCTTACACACCTGCCAGAAGCACAGAGGATGCAATCTTACTGTCGTTTTGAGAGACTTTACCATCACCTAGACCAGGGGTTGGGAACCTTTTTGTCTGAGAGAGCCATGGACACCACGTATTTTGAAAAGTAATTCTGTGAGAGCCATACATTATGTTTAAAACTAAAAATTCAAGTAAAATGTTTGCATTTTGTGTCATTTCAACACTAAAAATGCAGTAATTATGTCTCTGAATTCTTTTTCATAACAGTCTTATGCTGTTGCTAATCAATCACGAGTATTTCTTACCATGAATGCGACTTTTTTTTATAATCGAACATTTGTCTGCGAGCCAGATGCAGCCATCAATAGAGCCACATCTGGCTCGCGAGCCATAGGTTCCCGACCCCTGACCTAGACAGTCCTAAAACATAATATGCCAGAGTGCTTTTCTTAGACTTCTCATCAGCATTTAACACTATCCAACCACACCTTATGATAAAGAAACTTTCCTCGTTAGGTGTCAATTTAAATATTCGGGCTTGGATACTGAACTTTTTAACAAATCGACCACATCAATATGTCAAAGTAAATAACCAATTACCTCTAACAAGAAAAATAAGCACAGAGGCACCACAAGGCTGCGTTCTTTCTCCTGTACTGTATACAATATACACCAAAGATATTCAAAACTCAAGCGACACCGTTCCTATCTTAAAATTTGCTGATGATACCACGATTGTTGGCTTAATATCTGAAGGAGAAGGCCTATACAAGCTTTATCAATGGTGCGATGAAAATTTTCTCCAGCTGAATGTCTCAAAAAATAAAGGAAATGGTTGTTGATTTCAGGAGGGGAAAACACCAGATTACAGATCTCAACATAAAAAAATCAAAGTGTAGAGAAAGTGGAGGCATACAAGCATGGGCGCCCGCAGGTAGGGGCAAGGGGGGCACTTGCCCCCCCCTGGATTGATTGGATACAAAAATTTTAGAAAAAAATAGACAAAAAATGTATTAAAGTAAAGAGAAAATAAAGAGAAAGTAACTAAGCTGATGTTCGTTCACCATACAAATACGCTACAGTAAATTAAAACTATATTAAAGCATTACTAAAAAAATTCCCCCCCCCCTGGAAAGTTAATCGATTTTTTTGCCCCCCCCCTTTCCCTTTGAAAGTTTTCTGCGGGCGCCCATGCATACAAGTACTTAGGTGTCACCATTAATAATAAGCTATAAGAAATTCAACCAAAAACTGTACAAACAAGTCGTTAGCTTATTCTATAGTGCAACAATTGGAAGCCTACTCAATTTCAGTATTACCTGCTGGTGTGGGAATTAACGTATAATAATAAACACCGCATAAACCGACTAATCAAGAAAGCTAGGAAATATGTTTTTGTAAAACTAAACAGATTTTGGATGATACGTCCCACCCTCTTCATCACAAATACTTAGGATCGGGCCGTTCCCGGCGAATTCTTTCCATCAGGTCAAGGACTGAAAGATATAAAAATTATTTTGTTCCCAAATCTGTATGAATTTACCGGCATGCTCCCTCTGAAGTCAATCAATCTTAATGATAACTAATACGTCCTCGATTTGGCAAAGAGAACTCACTGAATGGCTGTTTGAAATAATTTATTATAAATGTCTTGTGTTCAAATTGTTTTAATGTGCTGAAAATGTATAATGCAATCAAAACAAATTCCATTTACTTGGATCAAAAGAATCTTATCTTATCTTATCTTATCTTATCTTATGAAACTATTTATATTATTTTTTGTATTGCCCTGGGGCTTGGCAAAAAGGGAGTATTTAGGCGCCCCCCACTCCCCCCCCCCGAGACCAAAAAGGAAAAAGGAGAGTAAGAAAAGAAACAAAAAAGGGGGAAGACTTGGCTTCTGTTATCTGTATTTGTAAAACCCATTTTGCAAATTTTTATCCAATTAAATCTTAGCTAATGCAGAGTCAGCAGAGATCGATTAATTATGATCATGTGCTATCCACAATGTCAGCAGGCCCAGATTATCCATTAATCAATGTAAGCACGTGCTAACTAGGGTATGAGTAGATAGGGAGCACCATAACGATACAAAGAAATAATTAAACAAAGAAATAATTAAACAAAGAAATAATTAAACAAAGAAAAAATTAGAACCCATAAAATTGTACAATGTTTTTGATAATTATTGATATGCCATATAATGTCACCTTATCATCATCTGAACGTCAAAAGCATTTTCAGAGTAGTGAATATGTGATTACTGCTTGCCCAGAGAACACACATTTTTATTAGCATCTTATCGGTTGTTCCCAGAATAAGTGCAGAATGACGCAAAACTAAATTCATGTATGTCAAAATGCATCTATTTGTTGATATAATCAAACGCTGTCGTTGTTTAGTTATTATATTTGGCAACTTGAAATACCCCCACAAATTTAGGTTTCCTTGACCATGCCTGGGTTACTAAATTCCTTTTATTTTGACTTGTATCGAAATAGCAATGATGTTCACATTTTTATTTTGTTAAAGACTCAATATACGGATCATCAAATATATCGAGCGTTGCACTATTTTATAATTTATAGGTCCTACTAATCTTAATCAGTCAAAGGCATCTGTTATTATTCTTTTGAAAACGTTATAAAACTGCCAATTTAATAGTACAGCTTTAAAAAGAAAACAATTATTTTTGTTTTATTACTGTACACATTTTTCTCGGGGGGTGGGGGTGAGGTGATTGACCTTTTCGGAGTCGAGATGCCTGATCCCCACCCAATCCCCATAACAAAATATTTAAAAAAAAACTAGGTGAGTGACGTCATTTATTGATTGCACCCCCTCCCCCCTCAAAAAAAAAAAAAGCTGAAGAAATGAAGTCTTAAAACGTAGTAATTTTTTTTTTACAATTATTAGACTTAAGCGATATGTTAAAACGTATGTTATGTGTTTATAAAAATCTTCATTAGCGATTTAGCCCATTTACATTCCAAGTGCAATTGTTTAACTATCAAACGATTGAATATCTTTGCTTTTTAAAATCTGTTTGAGATTTATCTCGGATTAATTACAGATCTCGGCAAATTGAGTGACCATGTTGGCTAGATCGCCTTCAATTTCAGTCTGAGTAGAGGATTGAATTGATTACGGATTACTGTTTTATAAGTGGGGAAATCTCGCATTAAATAGAAAATTCTAGTTTTCTTTTTTTTAGAAGACATGAATTTTCAAGAATTAATGACAGTTGCAGAACACAAACAAGTGAATCTAAGTAAAACTGTAAGTACAAATCAACTTTGAGTTGAATAGGGCCTGGCTATGGCTAAAGGCAAAGGCTACTGGCTATCCATAGGCTACAGTTTCGGTTAAATTCTCACCAGTCACTGTGTTAGTATGACGGTTATGTAACACTGCAACACAGCGTTTTATTTGTTAAAAATAAGAATAAGGGTGAATTAGTCTCACATTGGTGATTTTTTTCTGTCAACATTTCATGATTTTTGTGGGCTACAAACTACAAGGATACACATTTTTTGTGTGGAAAGTTTGTTTCCTAGGCTAGTCCTAGGCCAATTAAATTATTTTAGTAGGCCTACTTACAAATAGGCTAAATAGCCTTGACCAATTTCAGTCAAGCCTAGGCCTATCAGTTTGAGCTTGCTAAATATAAAGTATAAGGGCATCCATAAAGGATGTCACACACATTTTGCCGATTTTTGACCCCCCCCCCTCCTCCCCATTCCCATCGTTACAAATCGTCACAAAAAGTTAGACCCCCCCTAAAATATAACATTACAAATCTCTGCACCCCTCCCCCCCCCCCTAAAAATTCTCTGTGTCCACTGCTGTCCTTTACAAACCCTTAAGAAATTCACCTGTCACCTCCCATGGATATCAAATTACTACACCTGTGTCCCCATCCCTACCTTACAAATCTTCACAAAAAGTTAGACCCCCCCTAAAATATAAGATTACCAATCTCTGCCCCCCCTCCCCCCCCCCTAAAAATTCTCTGTGTCCACTGCTGTCCTTTACAAACCCTTAAGAAATTCACCTGTCACCTCCCATGGATATCAAATTACTACACCTGTGTCAGAAACATTTCACTTAGACAGTGGTTCTTAACCAGTGGTGAAAGTACCTCCCCAGCCCTGAGGTGCGGAAGACCAGAAAATTGTATTTGCTGCCATTGCTAGTTATTGCTTTTTTTTTTTTTAATCGGTTTTTATGCATCTTGATTATCAGCAGTAAATGTTTTTCACGGTTTGTGGGGGGAGGGGGGGGGTGTGTGTGTGTTCCAAACAGAGTGGGCCTGCAGCGCTGAAAAAATGGTTAAGAATCCCTGCCCTAGAGCATTTACTAAGATCATCTCCCTCCTGTCAACCACTTTTTTCGTTCCACCCCACTTACCATGGAAGTACTACTTCTATAACTCCTGTGTCCACATTTGGCCATAAATTCTCACAACTGTCATTGTAACTCCCCGCTGGCGTCCTGAAACTTGATCAGCTGCCATTTTTTCTTAGGTCGCATACCTGTACTGATTTTCACTGTGATAGTAGTTTTAAAGAATAATGTTAAAAATGTCTGTAATTTAAGGTTTTTAAGTGCAAGTCTTTACTATAATATTCCGCTTTTCATGTGACGTCACATTGCTTGAGCCTCCCCCCCTCCACCATGCCCACGTCACACATCGTCACAAAAATCTGACAACCTCCACCCCCCCAGACGCGTGACGTTAATTGTGGATGGCCCCTAAGTCAATAAGTGTATCTTGTCCATTCATATTGATACTATGTAGAACTTTTCTTTGTTTTTTTTAAAGCTTTTTGCTGCTTAAAAAGATAAATCTATACAAATTACATGCTTATTGATGACTATGTGAAGCAAAGGGCAACCCCAGGCTGTCGCCACTTCTTGTTTCAGATCTGATGGATTAAATCAAATTATGTTTGCAACATAATGGCAGCCAAGTATATTAATGTAATGCTAAACATGGCATTGATACCATTCATTAAGAATTTATTGTTTATTTTAAGTCATTGTGTTTATATACAATATAAATGCTCTTCTAAACTGAAATATGTAACAATTTAATCCATAGGTTTTCTGTAGGCATATAGTAAAATAAACAAAAAGTGGAAACTCAACATCATTGTGTGTTTTAAAAAAATTGATTATGTGCTTCATTTTGCACAGTGCAGGTCTACAAATACCTTGGTGTTTTAAGTAACCCATAATGCATTGCTGACCAACATAGGCTAATTAAAGGTGCAGGCAAATTTCTAATCAGACTACTTTACTGGTCTGAGCTCAAGAAAATTTTTAAATTTCTGGAAAAAAAATTTTGAATTAAAATTAAAACTCACTGGCCTCTTTTCATATTTTACAGTGTATAATATTTTATCTGTTGGGGATAAACAAAATATAATATAAAAAATAGTAGGGAACAACAGTGAACATTTTATAAAGATATGCAATAAGCTTGCATATTAAAATGTGTGGTCGGATGGCTTTGCATTCTAAACTATGTCAATATCAAACTGCATTGATTGGAGTACAAAACCCAGAAGCAGAAAAAAACATCAGCAGCACCCCATAGTTTTAGCCAGAGAAACACCATTTTTAAAGACACATGATGTCATAGCAATGGGAAAAATTCATGAATGATTTCCTCCATATTTACATCCTTCCCTAATGAATAAGTCTCAAATTTGAAATGAAAATAGCTTGTTATATTTGATTTGTGTCACATTTGTTATTCAAATCATTTGTAATTTTGTAAAATTGGACTCATCAATTAAGTTAATAGAATTAACAATAATAAATAATTTAATAATGAAATTCATTGGATGAGTTATATTATTGATGTTAATATTTTATAGAATAACAAAACTACTACAGGAAAATCATGAATAATTATTATATATGGATTATATGAAACAAATAGTGCGTGGCTTTATCCCCGGATTTTGCAAATATTACCCCCAAAAAACTGGTATTTGGTACCCAATGAAAATGTCTACCTTGTTGTTCCCTTCCAAATAGACTAGTTACTATGTATTAGGCTAATATCATTAGTCTAACGATAATGAGTTATTTATTAAGCAAATTATTATGTTAACTAATTAATAAACTGGTATTTGTCACAACTTTATTTATGTGCATGTTAAGGACTTCAATGTAAATTGTGATTGCGTGTTGTTTAGAGATTATATGTGTTGCTTTATCTATTTAATACTATTATGCCTAGTATTTTATGAAGTATTTTGTGGGAAGGGGAAAGGATGCATTGTTTTTGTGTAGAGTGTTGTGTGATCAGTAGTGGCAGTTGACTATTTAGTTGTGGTAATAAAGATACTGTATTCTAGTAATCAATGGTTTGTGAAGTTAATATAATAAACCCCTAGACAAAATGTAGCCATCGGTTCGTTACAGTGCATGTTTAACAGACATTTACTGTTGTGGGGCAAAAAAAAGAATTAAAATCCAGCATAAAATGACTCTTAATGACAAACACAAGGCAACCTTGCCAACTTTAAGTTTGCAATTTTGTTTAGTCAATAATATTTCAGAGCCAAACTGTTATAAAGCAAACATACATATGTAACTTACGGTAGAAAATTAGTTAATTCTTCACATAAAAAATGTCTGCTCAACTAATTTTAGTGAGACTGGATGTCGGGAGTGTTGGATAGCGCTCCATTGAATTTCCTTTTTAAATTATTGTATTAGTCATCATGCCATATGGCGTAATAGGAGCTGGAAGTGAGATTTTTTCCTTGGTTGATGATTATTTATATAGTCAGGTTTTGTGAAGAGTTTAGGATTGTTTGCTAGAAGTGTAGAAGTTATAAGGCAGTATGGCTAATAAATAGCCAGCCTTTAGTCTATAAGTAACCCATAAGCTAACGCTCTTCAAGTTTAGGCCCTTGAACGCACCAGAAAATGTTTTAACATTGATATCATTGTTCCATGGCACATAACCTATAATATAATTATTTGTAAGTTAAAGAATAATATAAAGATTTAAAATTTCAGTTTTTTTTTTGTTTTGTTTTTTTTTTTGTTTTTAATTTTGGAACTAAAGATCAAGTGCAGATTTTTTTATTTTTTTTGGGTTGCATTTCCCAACATATCTCCTGCCTAAATTAAACAAAGTTTTTTTTGTGTGTTATGATCTCTGTTTTATTTCCAACCCAAGAAAAATGTCTCAAGATACAGTCTGGAGCTCCCTGCCCCAAGAAAGGAGGAGAAACCAAAGCCAAAATCAAAGGTTGTTCAAAGCCTCATCGAGGAGAAGAAACGGGAAAAAGGTTTGAGGCTCTTTCATTTTTCTCTTTCTTTTCAATAACATCGGTCTTTTCAACAACATTGGTCTGTTCAATAACATTGGTCTTTTCAATACCATTCGTCTTTTCAATAACATTGGTCTTTTCAATAACATCAGTCTTTTCAATAACATTGGTCTTTTCAATAGCATCAGTCTTTTCAATAACATCAGTCTTTTCAATACCATTGGTCTTTTCAATAACATCAGTCTTTTCAATAACATGGTCTTTTCAATAGCATCAGTCTTTTCAATACCATTGGTCCTTTCAATAACATCAGTCCTTTCAATAACATCAGTCCTTTCAATAACATCAGTCCTTTCAATAGCATCAGTCTTTTCAATACCATTGGTCTTTTCAATAACATCTATATCATTGATAATATTATAGTGTTTGTGGATTAGATTTTTAAATTGGTGGTTAGTTTATTTCTGGTTTAAGTCAGACAGTTACCTTTGCCATGACAGATATTTCATATCTGTACAGGTTTTCTGTTTCTCATTCAATGCAAGCATGACGTGTGCATATTTGGTTATGTTAAATGGCTTTCATGTGTTGTTAAATTATAATTTTAACAACTTGCAGTTGGTTACCAAATTTTAGTACTTGACCTATTTTGCTCTATTGTATCATTATTTATTATGTTCATAAAAAGTATAAGGGATTGAAATATTAATGTCTTGTTATTGTAACACTTTTTTTTAAAAATACAGAGGCAGCAGAAAAAGCAGAAAGAGAGCGGAAGGAAGAAGAGAGGAAAAAGAATCAATTCAGAATACCTAAAAAGAAGACAGATTCACCAACCATCGATAAAGATTCTCTAATCAATTCATTGTTTGATGACAGCGGTGTTCAGTTCGGCGACAGCTCATCGGAAAATGCAGTGCTGCACAAACACAGCAAAGATAAAACCAATGGCGAGTCTGTGCCATCATCTAACAAAGACAGACATTCTTCTCATCACAGAGATTCCCATTCAGGTCATGGGACATCGCGTTCTTCTGATAAAAGACATGACAAATCATCATCACAGGAGCCTTCCTCCAGAAAACATGAAAAGCATAAATCGAGTAGTTCATCCAACCACAAAGAAACATCACATTCTTCTCATCACACATCCAGTAAATCTACCTCAGAAAATCACAAATCCAGTTCTCTGTCCTCTGATAAGAAACCCAGCAAATCAATAGAGACTCAATCTCAACATCATCAAGCCGCCCATTCCACAACTTCATCCAGCAAATCTTCAGGGGATAAATCTAAGGCGCCAGCTGATGGACAGCCTGTTGTTTTGACGAAACATCATTTAAATCCAACAATTGAGCGCCAAGCTTCGGAAATGTCAGAGCGAGAAAAAATATTGGCTAAGCTTCAAGCCATAAAGCAAAGGACGTTAGAAGCGCTTCATAAGGAAAATGCAAGAAAAGGGAAGCGTATGAAAGGGGATAAGTCTCACAGGAAATCGAAAGTAGAGGAAAAGCTTGAAGATAAAGCTAAATCGGTGGAAATAATTCGAGGGGAGGTTTCATCCGAGGGAGAGGATGAAGAGAGAAACGATGTGCCGTCTGCGTTAGATGTGATGTTGTCGGATAGAAACGCCAAGTTGGAGAAGGATAAAATCTCACGTCTGGCAAAACAGGCCTGGGAGAGAGCGACGAAAAAATCCTCAGACACTGAAGAAAAGGTTAAGAAGAATTCTAAGTCGTCTCATAGGGAAAGTAGTTCCAAAAAACAATCTAAAGTTCATGTTCATAAATCTTCTCATCGTGATAAAGACAAAAGAAAAGCCCATTCCTTGTCACCTTCTACCACCCGGTCAAACAAACCTTTAATTAAACCTAAAAAATTCAAATCCTCCCAGCCTCCCCCCTTAGACTTTAAAGCAATTTTAGCAATGGCAGAACAGAAACAAAAGGAGCCCCCTAAACCAGTTGTGCCATTGCCAAAGAAGAAAAAAGAAGAGGAGGAAAGACCTCTTACTCAAGAGGAGAAAGACAGGAGAGAACGCCAGAAGTCTAAAGCCTATCAAGAGTGGTTACAAAGAGGAGGTCAACGCCCTGGCCAGAGAGACGCCAACGGTCACGACTCTCCGCCGCCGTCATCATCTTCTCAGTCGACTAAAATAAAACCCGGCGCACAGGGGCCCGGCAAATCTTTAGCCAAGCCTCAGGACAAACATAAACAAATGTCCAGGCCGTCTGAGAATGGCATCGGCAAAGCCAGAAGCATGACGGTCAATGAAAATGTCTTGGTTTGTGGGCCAGGGGAGGGCAGTGAGGATGAAGAAGAAAGCCCTCCTGTCAGGCAGCAACAGGATACCAGGAATCCTTTCGACAAAATTATGCAACAGGTTCACAAGAAAAGGCCAGGGACACAAGTATCTTCAGGTAAGGGGAATAGCTTTACCAATATCAAAACAAAATAGTTATCATTTTTGTGCCAGGGAATTTCTGTCAAATAAAGTGATTTCCTAATGATCCAAAGTTGACTGTCTAATAATCCGAAGTTGTCTAATAATCCCAACTTGACTGTTATCTAATAAACCCAAGTTGACTGTTGTCTAATAAACCCAAGTTGACTGTTATCTAATAAACCCAAGTTGACTACTAATAGGCTACAAAAATAAGTTAAACAAAACTAAACATCTCTAAGATCAAGTATTAAGAGCATAAAATCATGTGCAAACCAACTGTGAATGATCCTTCTGCCTTTGATGATGAATGTGGTTATACATGATAGAATCCAACTTGTGGTACAGCCAGTGTCACAAAGTGGTTGTACCTATGTGGTAACACTCTCATGAGGTATTTTTATATAGTGATATATTAGTACTCTTATGAAGTGCTTGTCTAGTTTATATATCTCTTATGTGGTAGTACTTGTGTACTAGCAAACTCATTTAGAAGTATTAGTAGTCTCATGATAGTACTGTGGCAATTTAACAAAAATTAAAAAATTCACATTTATTCAGGTAGCTCTGAACAAGTTATTTTCTAATTTTTAAAATTTTTTTATACAGAAAGCAAATTTTCAATACCACCCAAGGTTCCCATTTCCATGGTTGAGATTTTTTTTCCTTGGGGGTTTCATACTTCCATAGGGTTTTACCTCCTTCCATAGGGTTTACCTCCTTCCATAGGGTTTACCTCCTTCCATAGGGTTTACCTCCTTCCATAGGGTTTACCTCCTTCCATAGGGTTTACCTCCTTCCATAGGGTTTACCTCCTTCCATAGGGTTTACCTCCTTCCATAGGGTTTACCTCCTTCCATAGGGTTTACCTCCTTCCAT